AAATCCCTCGATATCGCCTTTAATCTCTCTAACCAAATCCCTCGATATCGCCTTTAATCTATCCTTTAATCCCCAGCACAAAAGAATAAAAATTTACGGCGACATCGAGATTTATGGATGTGTTAGCGTGCAGATTATCCTCGAGCCATTTAGATACTTTAGACTTAGTTTCCTCCTGTAAATTTTCATTTTCTAGTTCAGAATCTTCGTTTTTTATTTTCGATTCAATGTTTTCATTAGCTTTAGAGGTTTCTCCATCATATTTTAGATTCAGATGATCCTGTATATGAATAAAAATTTTTTAAAATTAATTTTTAATTACTAATTACTCTTTCCGTCTCAATTGCTAAAATAATTTTGTTAAAATTTAATATATTATTATTTTCCTCAACGATTCCATCTTTATTTTTGTTAGTTGAAATTTTGCGGATTGGAATATTTAACCTTCAATTAAAGTTTAAAATTGTTCAGAACGTTTTATTTCAAAAATATTTAAGGATTGTGACTTCTAAGTAATCGAACTGTACATCATAAACCCCCCCCCCCCCCCAACCAAGTTTAATGATAGGCAGAAGGTTATTAGAGCGACTGGGAGCGAACCAACATCTTCAAACGACCTTTGTTATCCATTACACCGCCCCGCCTCCTACATAGATCCTAAACGATTCCATCTTTGGTTTGTTAATGAACCCAATTATACAGGTAGATTGCATAAACTAGACGACCCTGAGACAGGATTTTATCCAAATTCACAATTTGGGGAATCGGGTCTGCTAGATTAAAGTTGGCATTCCAGTTGGCATTCCAGTTGTCTTACACAACCAGCTGGATATTTCCTTTCCAGCTGGATATCTCCTTTCTAGCTGGATCCATCCTTTCTCAACCAAGTCTCCATCCTTCCTATACCAAGTCTCCATTGATAAAAATTAACTTAATTATAAGTAATTTACAATATCTGAGTTGATCTGCGTCTCTCTGGGAACAAAATACAAACCCAATTTTTATATTTATCTCTCCAAGTAGGATATACTTTCGAATTATTTTCTTTTTCATTTTCCAAAGCTTTCACATCTTTAAATTTGAATTTTTCAAAAATTATATTTTCATCTTCCGATTTAATCAAAACATTGTCTTCGTCATCAAAGAAAGGATCAGATTCTTTTTGATTAAACAAAGTAATCCGAGCCCGCAAATAAATATCCGAAGAGAAGGCACCAACAAAGAAGGTAAAACGTTTGTTTAAATGGGGATGGTGAATTTGCCATGACCGCTGAAAAATAATATTTATTCAGCTGCAATGAGCAAATGAAAGCAACAATAAAAATAATAAAAATTCTAAAAAGAAGGGAGATCCAGCCGTCTAGCATTCAAAATCATTTGCTATGTTTTCAAACAGGAAGATAAAGCAGTGTCCCTCTAGATCAGTTGATAGCAAGGGAAGAGATCTCTTCCTTTTTCTTCCATCTATCGTCTATCGCTTTTAAGAATGCGCAAGGTTGGTAGATCACCTGCAGATGGTGGGAGAAAGTACCTAGCAATAACTGCGCAGGTTCGTTGCCCACCGGGACTAATGTTTACATTATCTTAAGAAGGTCCTATAAACCATAAGAAACTGCGACTAAGAAACGGGAAATGAAACCGGAGGATATTTCAATTTCATAATTATCTCATCTTCACTAAAAGTAATCAAAACTAGAAACCAAACCGGTTTACGAGAGACTGAGAGACTGCAATTTACGTGATACTCAGTTTCGATCATGGCGGAGGTTGATGAAGTCTGCCTTAGTCAGCTGGCACGCTTCGAGTGGGGAGGCAATTTGGTCTAGCTTTTCTTGTAAATTTCAAGGCAGAAAGGACTAATGTAAATTAACCTTAATAAAATCAGAACTCCCATTAATCGGAATATCAATTTCAACCGATACTTTTTTTAAACCTTCAAATTCAATCCCTCTTATATTATACATTCTTCTGTGATCTTTTGAAAATTTGTTTAACATATTTGCTTTTAATCTTTTAAATTTTTCTTTTAAAGTTTCGTCATGTTTTCTAAGCAATGAGCGATTAAATGTAAAGTCGAAGGAAAATTCATGTTCTGTTAATAAGGATAACGTTTGAGCAGATTCCTCATCAGCAATTGGATAAAATGTTGCTCTAATCTAAATGGATAGGTAATTATTATGGGAAGCTTTCGAATTAAGGTATTAATGTACAATTAAGGTAATACGACATACTATAAGATATACATTAAAGACGGATCGGGTTAACCAAAACCCGGAGGGGCCAGAAACTGAGACTTGATTTAAAACCCAAAATTTCCATCCCTGACATATCCTCAATTTAATTGACCTTTCTAAATTGTGGTAGATCATTGCTTCTTTAAGCGATATCCCTATATTCCCTATGCAAGATACCTCCTCCTTCCTGAGCGGACGAGGTAATCTGGTCTATGTTTAGTATAAGTAATATCCTCTATGTAAGATACCCCCTATTTTAGGATAAGATTTAGCTCCTTTTGTTTATATTAAAGTAAGGTCAGAGAACTAAAGAGCTATTTAAGATATCCTCCATTATAAGAAACTCCTCATTATAAGAACGAGTACCAGCTAGAATTGAAAATTCAGGCACCATTAGGGGTACCTAACAGAATATAAAGTACTAGATTTTGAGCTCAAAGGGATATCTTATAAGAGGTTCGACTATATTTTAAAAAATTTATTTAAAAACATTGTAAAGCCTTCCATCTCTATCACCATATGAATTAATTTCTGGTTCAATTTTTCCAACAAATTTAAAAGCTTTATGATTTTTTCCAACATTGTACTCATTAACAATAGACTTCCCTTTCGGATCAGTTTGTAAAGTTGATTTAATTAAAATTAGTTGAAGCACAATTTTAATTAAATTGTATTTTAAATAAAAATAATTTTCAAGTTTCATTTTTAAAAATGAATAAAATGGAGGCAGACATAAAGCTATAGATGCCCTTTAAGCGGCATTTTAAGACGTGTAATTAATCCATTTTTGCCCTTTTTGTCTGTATATTTTGAAATTTAATGTCTACATGTAAATTTTAAGAATTTTTTAAAGAATCTTTCAACAACTATATAGAAAACGTTTTAATTATCATGACTCCGTAGTATGGCGCCGATTCCGAACTTTTCCAGTTTTTTTAAAAAAGGAAACGGCTTTTTTCTATGAAGATATCCATTGGTATCACAAAAATTAAAAATTATGTATCCCTTCTTGAGTTATAGGGCCGGGACTCAGTAGCCTGGATTCACTGGAACGGCTCCGGGGGCCAAGAATAAAGAATACCCCGAACCCACAAAATGCATAATACCTAGGTTATTTCTAGAGTTGTTCCACGAAAGGGGAGGTGGGGGAGGGCCAGGGGGAATAATTTTCGGGGAGGCAGCGCCACGGGGGGAGGGGCGGGTATAAGGAATATTTTTTCTTTTTCCACAGGGCGGGGACGGGGAATTTTCAAAAAATCTCTCAAATTCTTCGGCTTTCAGGGACGAGAAACAACCCTAGTTATTTATATTTCATCATTTTCTTTCCTTATGGCCCGCAAGTGGTATCTTATGAGAAGGTCTGACCATATTTCTAATTAAATTTAATTACTCGGTGTGGGATTTATCGAAAACTTTGACCTTTAACATTGCATCACACTAGCTATTTTGTTTATTTTGTCAGTTAGTGCCTTGTTTTTGTCAAAAATTTTTATTATTCAAAGTGCCACTTCACATGCACTTTAGCTAAAGTCCGCTTGCACTTTATTAAGCATAATCGAATTAAATAAACAAGTCTGATGTCTTTATTATTGCCCTTTTATTTAAGAAAAGGAAGTCTATAAAATGGTTAGATGTTGATTTATTGTCAGTCTGTTTTTATTTTAAATATTTTTTAAAGACTATAAAATTTCCGCAAGCCTGAAAAACGTAACTTATGTAGGGAAGAAGGGGAAAATTTTACTAGGCAGGGTTTAAGATCTATTAAAAGGTAAAGCTCAGCCTGTAGATAACTTCAATTAGACCACAGGACCGATGCCTGTCCTCTTTATCTTACAGGGGTATTGTGTGTAGCCACATCTGGATTTGTAAGGTAGAAGGGAGTAAAGCTCTGACCCTGTTATGGTTTAAGCTCCATTAAAGTAAAAATGATATTTTCTATTCCCAGGACGTCTCGATATAATCCCGAAATCCTTACTCGATCTGCAACTTGTAGCTGTAGATAGACCTGCACTTATTCACCTGGTTGCTTGGGGAGGGGGGGGGTTGTAAACGGAGTCAATTGTTATTCATATCAATTTAAAAGAAATAATAATAATAATGACTTCCAAATTCGGCAAAAAGGCTTTCAATTTATTTCTAACAATAATTTCATTTTATTTACTTAATACAATTGAATCTGCTCCTCGTCGACAGCAGCAACATGTTCAGTTAGCTGAGCAACCAACAGGAGAAACCTCCAGAGAGATACGTCCAGAAATAAATGGTGAAACTTAATTCTTCTTACTAATTTCGGACCTCTCTATAAGATAAACCTCCATTTAAGATGAGTTTTTCAAGGCTACAAGGTGGGGAAGCTGCTTAGGCGATACACTTTGTTTAAGATATGAGGTACGGGTTGTCAGTTCCGAGAGTGTAGTCTATACTAAAGTCCATCTGATTTTAGACTAATAAAATATGGTTGGCCACTGTGAGGAGATGCTCATTAAAGGAGAAGTTCCTCTATTTAAAACACCCCTCGTTATAAGGTAATATTTCTTAGTTCCAAAGGTGTTTACACTGAGGTCTGAACGTATTTAGACTCAAAAGTTTGTTGGCCACTGAGGGGAGGAGGAGTCGCTTAAGCGATACTCCTCGCTTAAGTCTCCTAGTATAAAGTATTTCTCGAACTATAAATAATATAATCAAAATTTCTTCAATTAAGTTGAACAACCTGCGTATATATCTGAACGCCCTGATCTTGAAATATTAAATTTTTTGGTAAATCAAATGTCAATATTACAAGATGAAAGACTTGATAATTTCATAAATTTATTAAAAATAATCAGAAAAAATAAAAAAGATATATTAGAATTATTTAAAAGTCAAGGAATGTTCAATCAACTTTTTGAATTTGTCGAGGCTAATTTGAAAAGGATCCAGCCAGAAAAGAAAAAATCGGAAAAGAAAAATGCAAAATCTGTAGGTCTTGAATGCTTGGGAAGGGATGGGGTCATGCTTGGGCAGGGTGGGGTCATTCTAGGGTACGATATTACGTCTGGTTAGACATCCCTCCGTTAATGGGAGTTAATTCCATTTAATTCCCAATTCTACTGATAACGGGGAATTTTAAATTCAGGGACGGAGACGGGGGCTCTTGGGAGACTTCCTTGATGATGGGGATCTTGGGAGACTTCCTTCCAGAATGCCGTGAAGAAGATGGAACTCTTTACTTAACTCGGGGACGTGGATAAACCTTAATTCTTAATGAATATTTGTTTGACCATTATGATACATGAATAATTTTTATATGAGAATACATAGATACTGAAATGAATATTGTTGGAGATAAAGTACCAATTTGCCACTTATTTCAATATTAAAAAAATTTTTTTAATTTTTCTAGTGGTCTGAAGCTTTGATAGAACTAAAACGAAACGGATTTGAACGTGTATTAGCATCTATCGACATTTGTCAAAATTTGGAAAACTCAGTTTTCCGCCAAGTACTAATTGGCTATTGTATTCAAGAAGTTAAAACTAAATGTGAAACAATGTTTGAAGCAGCCAAGATTCCAATAAAAGTGAATCTGGACAATTCGATAAACTTGGCTGATAAAATCTTTGATGATCAGGAATTGGAAAATGTGGTTTTTGGAAGAAAAAGGAAGAATTGGCTTTCCTTTTTGGACAAACTTAAAGGCTCGAAGGTGTTGAGTAGAGCATCTTCTTCGTCGTTATCTTCAGTTTCTTCAAATTTGTCTTGTTTGAGTGTTAAAGATTTGGATTTGGGAGAAACTACTAATGAATAAATTAATTTTGAGATGATAATTTTACAGATGGACCTCTTTATAAGAGACACTATTGGGGTTAAAATCAGTACCCTTTAACTAGGGGTATATTAAATAGAGAGTAGGATTAAGCTTCTTCCCTAAATGATAGCCAAACTGATTCTAACGAAGCGTATCTTAAATAAAATTAAAAACCAATAATGGACCGTCCGTATTATTAAGGCAGACATCGGAAAACTGAGGAGGTCCACGGTGTGAGCAGTATTGGGGGATCTTATAAGATAATCTTCAGTAGCTGATACTAAAGATTATCCTAAATAGAGGGGTTGATTAGACACCTTTCCTATCTATGGACGAGAAATTTTTTAAACCGGTCCGAAAAAATCCGGAGATCGGCAAAAACCCGGCTTTGTGGCCCGGACTCAGGAAAATCCGGCCGGAGCATTAGGTCCGGTGCATTAGTTTATATTATTCAGAGGTCCGACTGTACTCTTGAAAGGCTGATGTGTAAATATTTAATTAATTAAAATTGCTAATAATTAGCTCAAATTGTAAATAGTTTCTTATTTTTCTTGATAAATATTGTAATTATATTTTATTTTCGGATATTTTTGATTATTAAGTTTATTTATTTCTTGACATTTAAAGCACATTATGGCATTCATTAAAATTTCATTTTTTATTTATCCAAAAAGACCACTCGCAATTCTTGCTAATGATTTCCCTGCTGTTTTTGCTCCATTCCAAACAGACTTAATTTCGTTCCATCCAATGCCTTCCTTAACGGCATAACTAACACCGTCAATTACTGCTTGAGCTACACATTTGTATCCAGACTTGAAATTAAAATTTAGAAATAATTTTGGACGCCATCCAGGCCTTATGCCATCTTAAGGCCTTATGTAGGGTCACAACTAAATCCTTAGCCGATTTTAAAATGCCTTATATCAATTGAAAGCCATTAATGTGTGGACTAGAACTCGGCTAGGGGACGGAGGAGGTACATAACTGTCCATTACTATCTTCTATTGGGTAGGGGATCTTTTATCGCAGTTGCAGTCTCGATTCTATACTTTGGGCCAAAACTTTTTGCTTCCTAACCGATTTAATTACTCATTATATCAAACGATAGCTCAGGATGTCGGGATTATTTAAGCTATCAGGATTAACTTGATAAGATCACACTACTCAAAGGACACCTGGATAATTGCGTCAGTCGTCCTTTTTGATATTTACTTGGACAGACGTTGGATGATCTGATCAAATCATTCCGATAAATATAATATCAAAATCCAGAGCTTTCTTAAATCGGTAAGAATCCAAATATGCTACAGACTGCAGTAACGATTCTAAGACGGCCTTTTAGCTCCAAGAAATTAATTTCAAAAATCCACCGTAACATAAGTAATGTAACCAGCACTTCTAACAATTGAACAAACCCCTTGTTGTCCAAAAAGACAAGCAATATTATCTTCGGCAGTTTTCTATGAAATTTAAGTATTTAATTGAAAAAATTCCTCTAGGATCACTTCTAAACAATCACAAAATTTATTGTCACATTTTTCCTTTTCGTCGCAACGATCATAACAAGCAGTTATTTCAATACAGCATTCATTAACTTCAGCTGAAAAACGAAAAAGTTTACATAGCTGAACTTTGCTATAAGCTATATCCCTTGGGAGGGGTGAAAATGTAATCAGACGTAAAATGAGAGGAAGAGACGTGATATCGAGAGTTGGCTTTATTTTAAAGAGCTATTCTTAAATTGGTGTTTTCTCTTGAAAGCTCACTCAATAGCCAAAACAACTGTAAAAATGTCTAAATAGAGGTGTGTATTGTTAATTGGAAGTGCCGCTTAGGCAGATCCTCGACTCGATATCATAAAATAAGGGTTAGGGGGAGTCGTTATAGGGGGAGACGACTATACCAAAAAGGCACACCTGTTTTATTGTAGCATGCCAATTTTGCAGCTTGGTGTGTTACTGGACTTGCAAAAGATGGCCCGCATTGAAACTTTTCTATGAAAATTGGAAATTACGGAAATCTCGGGAATATCTTTTAACCTCCAGGGCCCAGACTTGCTTTGAATCGGCCACGTGCTCTATCATAAAGATCAATCGGAAAGCTTTCAACTTGAAAAATTAATTTTGATTTAATTTAATAAATCTATTTACCAAACGGGACATCCTTGTTCACACCTTAAAATGAAAAAGATTTTTTTGAAAATTAAATATTATTGAAAGCTGCGTATAAAGTAGGGGCATAATTCAGATTTACTTAATTTTTTAAGGTCCAAATTTTAAGCTCCGACTATTCTAACTTTCTTTGGCAAAATGGAATATAACTAGGGTTGCCTAAATGTCCGGCTTAAGATATTGTCGGGCTTAAGGCTTAAGATATGTTCTCCGAAGGCTCGTGGTATACTCTAGTTCTAATCACGGGTATGCGTCCAAATCCCCTGCTAGAGCTAATCAGTAGGACGAAGGATCAATCTCTGCGCGTGTCTACGCTCTTATGTATCTCTCAATTTTCTTCTAAAAGAAATACCTTCAAGTAGATAAAGAGTATTTTTCATTCCCGCCACTTTTTTAACTGTTGTCACATAGCGATCTTTAAATAAAATTTAAAAAATTTCCAGAAATTTAAAATTACCATAAGTCTTAATTATTCCAAAAGTATCAAATAAATTCAATTTTCCTCCATCTCCATCTATTTAAAATAATTTTGGATATTTTAAAATTTTTTACAAAAATTACCTTTAATTGTTTCGTTGAATATTGGATGTACTCCTCTCATTAAATAATTAACTGTGCTTTTCCCGTTAATTGCTGTAAATTAATTAAAGTTTTTAGGGAAGTATTCAGTAAGGAACATCGGTATAAGGGAATAAGTGGTTAAGAGTCAGCCAACTTTGATCATCATGACTTTTTTATTCCTCAACTGATCCGATCTGATCTGTATATTACTTATCTAATCGAATGTCTGCTGATCGATATCACCCAAAAGACCTCGATATGAGGTATTTTTTTCCAAAAAAGTGAATCAACTCTAATCACCCACAAAAGTATTAATTAGATAGGTATACTTTTGTATTTGTAACGTTTTAATTAGCGATCAGACGTGATTCTTTTCATATGGGACAGACTCATCCAAGTTGGTTAGGTCTCAGTTGACCTTAGATTTCCTTCAATATAACTTCATAAAATACACCTCTATTTAAGAGTTCTTCTCAAATTTCGGTTAAACATTGAGGAAAGAGCTGCCAATTCTAAACCTCCTAATTAATATACCCCTCATTATAAGGTACTACAGGTCTATAGGAGATCTTATATCGAATCCCGACCTTATTTTCTTACTTTTATTGGTGGAGGAAATTATATGAGTATCATATGAATTTGGAATTGTATAATCTGAAGAATGAGAAGTATAAAGTTAGAAATTATTTTAAGTTTACTTCCATCCGGTGCATAAATAAAAATGAAGAATCGGTGCAACACTGTGTAAAGTGAAAATTTTTTTCTAATTTTTTAAATTTTACAAAATCCAGCGAGCAAATAAAAATGATTGGGAGAAATTCGGATCATCGCAACAATTTCTCCAACTTTAAATTTAAAATATTTTTTAAAATTTATTTAATGTTCAAAAAGGATACGGATTTCATAAGAAATGTTTTATTATTTTTCGATTTCCCTCCACTAATGTTTGTCCAAAAAAGTAAAAAATAGTTCTGTCAATTTAAAAATATGGGGTAATAATTTTTGAAAATGAAAATATCCGCGAAAAAAGGGAAAAGTTTGGCACTAATTTAATTTTTTTGGCGTTGTGCCCTTTAAATGACACTTTGTCCAAAATGCCCGATAAATGGAATTTTTGAATTTACACTTAAGTTTGTGATTTTAAAGATTTTGTTAGGTTTTAAATTTTAAAAAGTTTGCCAAAAAAATTTGTCTTTTTCAGGGGGTTAAACTTGAAATCGAGTTAACCGTCACAAGATAAGCGGTACTTGATGTAGAAACTCTCTCTCACACTCATAGGAGCCCATCGTTAGGACAAAGTATACTTATAGGATTAACGTTCACTTTCTAATGAAAGCACACTAGTTCATCTCATCTCTAATAGAAGCCCACTCAATCAAATATATCGAAAAGCCGGTTTCAAGACTTCATTTGAGTGTATTTAGGTCAGTAGAAATCCGTATCTTCTACTGAAGCTCAAAATCTCTATCTATTTTCAGTTGTATTCAAAATACCTTTTGCTTGTTCAGTGGGTACAGTGCATCTATATTGCGTTTTTCCATCCTCTTAAAAATTTTTTTTCCATTTTTGTTATTTTTAAAAATCAACTTACTAAACATTTTAACTCTCAATTCATCTTGCTTAATTTGAAATTCACTTTCTTTATCGCATCCATTCGCTTCCATAAAGTCTTTCTCGGCAATGCATGTTTTAGTAACGTGTTCAATCCACAAGTCAAACGAATCTTTAATTTATATCTAGATTTTTTTTATTACTGAAGGTAAAGCGAAGTAATCACACGAGGGGCCTCTGAACATAAATTCAACTAGCATAAGCTCTAAAAATTTATAGAAACCACGTATAAAGCAAACGATTAATGTTAAGGGTAAGGACCTTAATTAGGACCGATTGAGACTATCTTGAGAACTGATCGTAATTTGGGATCGATATCTCTATTAAAATCTCGTAACTCATATTGTACTGTCGGATCTCTCTACAAATACACTCAATTAACAATTTCACGCAATTAGATTACACGAATACTTGCAATTATCAATGCCCTCTATCTAAGACACATCTCATTATAAGGTTGGTTTTAAGCTCCAAGGGGTGTCTATTATTGTAGTTTACCTGATCTCATAGATTAATAATAAACAAATTAATAATCCTACACACTTTTTTCATCCGTCGCCAATTTTGGATGTTCCAAATGTGGCAAAAACATATTACAATAATCATGCATTAAATAATCTTTAAAATTTTTTTAAAAATTTCTAAAAAATTTTTCAAACGATTTTCATATTCCTCCTTCGCTTGCCGATGCTTTGCCTGTTCCTGGTGACTTTTCATTTTTCCAAAATTACTTTCAACAAGATCGTCGTTTTGTTCAGCATCTTCAGGAGTGAATTGATTTAGGCCAACGCTCTGGGTGTCGCCAAAACCTTTGTTGGCAAATGTTTCGGGGTTTCGATTTTGCTTAGCATCTTCTGGGATGAATTGACTTAAGTTAAGTTTCTGGGTGTTGCCAGACTTTGTGTTGGCGAATGTTTCAAAGGATTTTATTTTAGTGAATAATAGAGGTAAAAGGAGTAAAATTAAAATTATTTTAAGGGAAGACATTTTGAGAGATTTTCTAAATTAAATTTGAAAAATTAATAATTGAGGTAGATGTTAATTTATCAAGGGGGCTTTTAAGTGATATATCTCCTCGAATTAGACCTAGCATAATTTTCATATAACAATTATTCCAGTAATCAGGATAACAAATTTACTGTTTAATATGTATATGTAGTGGAATCATCGTATAACGTCATAACTTGAGGCTGAATTTTTCCAATGATAAGGGAAGTGATGGGGAAGGGGTTGACGTTAGCGAAGCCAAGTTTGCGCTCGTTCATTTCCCACCTTACTCTCGTTTTAAATTGAGAAAGAGATTGAGGGAGGGATATGAGAGAGGGATACAGAATCGAAGGAGGGATACTAGAGGAAGGAGACAGCTTTCAAGCTCTCCCGTTTGAAAGTTCTTTACGAAAGACGGACATGGGAGAGAGGACGGGAGGAGGGGGCCAGAAACTTTAGATTTTTTTTAATTTTAACAAGTCGAATTAAAATTAAAATAAAAACAGACTAATTCAAAACCAACTAAAATCACTTTTCTTAAATATGTAAACACAAAATTCAAAGTCATTAAATATTCATTATTATTTTTTTATTAAAATGTACCGCGAGAATTTATTAAAAAATTCCCTTTTTTGTACTTTTAGATTAAAAAAAATTTCCATTTTTTCTTTTAAAATTTAATTTAAATAAAGTACTTCTTTGAATTAATTTTTTAAATTAAAAAGAAAAATAAAATTCGGACAAAATTATAATTTTAAAAATTTTATTCTAAAAATAGGTAAACGGAAAAATTACTTGTCGTTTTTAGGGTGATGTTTGCGTTACATAATTTTAAAATATTTTAATTTATTTTTGTGATAAAAATTTTTGGAAATATTAAAAAATTTATAACTTGTGGACACTCTCTAATACCTCACTCCCTTACAAGTCACTTTAGTCACTCCCTTATAAGCAGTGATTTCAAAGTTCTAGTTCCAGTTCCGGAACTAATTAGTTCTAGTTCCAGTTCCAGAACTAGAACTACGGAACTAACGATTATCTGGAACTAGACCGGAAATAGAACTACGGAACTATTAAACGCATGGAACTATCTTGGAACTGGAACTACGGAACTAGTGAACTGGAACTAAGGAACCTCTGTAATCTATTTCGGTTTTGGAAAATCTTTTTTGAATTTCTTCGGTTCCAGCTCCGGTTCTGGAAAATTCCTAATTTTAACGTTTCAGTTCGGAACTGGAACCTTTCCGTACTGCTTGAGATCATACTTTAGCTCAATTTTGGCTCTAAGAAGTGACTTTCTAGAGAGATTAAAGTCATAAGTAAAATGAGTGTTTCACCTATACTTTGACCAATATCTCAGCTAATTTAGTTCAAAGGGAGTGACGCTTAAGAGAGATTACAGTTAAAAATATAGTAGATGCTCTCTAATACGTCACTCCCCTGCACCTCGTCTAAATCGCTAAATGTTGGCTCTAAGGAATGACGTATTATAGAGGTTGTTAGCTTATCCTTAGAAGAACCATTCTCCCGGTCAACAAAATGATTTTAACATCTCATTAGATTTTTCGGGTTTAATCCAGTCCTGCCCTCTTTCAATTTTGATAATTAATTTTTGCAGGTGTCACAATAATATGTATTCCAACTTGTATCACAGCTTTGTTATTATCACATGCTATACATGCATTATTTACTTTGGTAAAAGGAAAACGAATTCCAAAACATTTATAAAAAGCTGTTCCATAAAGACTACTAAAATTATACTTATTTATTCTAAAAATTGTTTAATTAAAATTGGATCTCAATTGAAAGACCCCCTCCTAAGGATAAATACTTGAGTGGGGAAAAATCAATGTCAATGGATCAAGTAACTTGATTAAATGTCAAAATGTCGGCCGGGAGAATCCCTGGAAGTAAATGCCCTTCAAACCCGGGATTCCGGACGGGATCACGTAAAATCCCGTATGGATATGAGGATTTGAAAGATATCGGTCGAGAGACTTAGGAATATTACGAGCCTGAATCGACCTTTCACGTAAATAAAACTGAGGTCAGACTGTTTTATAATTTACCTCATCTTATAAAGCAAAGGAGCATAGCAAGCTAGTACAGGGACAAGTATACATCCAGCTATTTGGAATATATACCAGGTTTGTAATTGCGAAACTTGAAGCCAAGATACAATATTTCGAGTTAAAGTATTGATAAACCATCCAGAAAATTCTAGAAAGAAGACTGCCAAAATAGATTTGGTCATTCTTTTAGAAGAATTATTTGTGGAGGTAACTACAAAATAAAAATACAGAAAAATGGGGACTATCGCGTAAGAACATCCAGCTATTTGCACAAGGGGATTTTGAAAGATATCGAGAGATTTGGGAAAGTCCCATGGAAGTAAACGTGGGATTATAGAGTAGAGGTCCAATTATTATCCAGCTTGTTATATCTACTAGATACCCCAGCAATCCTAATCTCACCAACAAGATAACAAATTAATCCTGGATTTGTGAATTATGAACTAGAGGTCCAATTATAAGTAAGAAACAAGTACCGTATTCTCTATAATAGAGTCATAGAGCTATATTAGGATGGTCTGTTCGCAGCCAAACCGAACAGAAGGAACGAGGGTTCTCGATTCATCGAGCTAAAGAGGTTGATCCAAAATTGATAAGGGCCAGAAAGTAGCCAGCTAGTTATGCTGGAAAACGTGTACCCCTCTAATTCAGTGGCATTAATAAATAAAATACGGTAGTTTATTACCTTTTTTGTTCATTGCAATCCACAGGATTATGCTAAGCACGAGAGAAACAAAACTAAAATAAACGGCAACTTGAAAAACAAAAGGGGGAACAGCATCAGGAGTTGAACAAGTTACCAACTTTTTAGGAGAAACATTTAAACACAAATCTATTCCAGTATATACAGTAAATAAAGCATAAATTGAAATTGAAGAAAAAATAAAAATTAAATACAAATAGTATCCCTTTGAAGAGTTCTGAATGTATTTCATGTGCCTAAAATTAGGAATTATAATGGGTAATCGGCATTTGACTTTCTCGTGTATTTGTAGAATTAGCTTGGAACATTAATATAAACTCACCAGCAAATATCCTCAGAGGATTTAAAGGGATATCTTAGGATTTTTGTCAGTTATCTTAGGGTATTTATAGGGATATCAGAAGATTTAAGCAATATAGGCCAAATTTGGAGAAATATTTATGGATCAAGTGGTCTGGATAAGGAGGGATTCAAGTGAATTCAGAGAAGTTGATCCAGGAAATCCAGGAAATTTCGAAAAATAATGTGAGGAGTCGGAGAGTTATCGGGGAGATTTAGAGGGATATCAGAGGATTTTGAGGGATATCATAGGAATTTCGTTGAATATCTAGAGTCAAGGATTTCGAAGCAAGGAAGGATTGAAGGAATTTCAAAGGTCTTTCAAAAACAATGAATTGTTTTGATACACAATAGAAGCTGTGATTATCTGTTCGAATCCAAATCGAACAGAAAAATGAGATTTCGGTTCGGTTTCGTATATCCAAAAAATTTCTAAGGACCGAGAGACATAAGTTAAGCTAAAATATTACCATAAAGGAAATATGGCAACAATAATTCTATCAATCGAAAGAGCCAGATAAAGCAAATATTGTGACTGAACAAAAAATATCGGTAAAATCATAAGGAAATAACAATTTTTTAGATAAATTAAATTAGTTCCAGTTACAGCAATTCCAAATTGAATTGAAAATGTAAATAGATTATAATTTTTATTAGTTTGAAGGCCGGTCAACCGAACCGGGACTGAAGACAAGTGTCAAGAGCGTGTCCATATTATCCAAAAACCGGGCTGTCAATCAAACCAAAAACCGAGGGTCCAGGCCAAAACCAAGGCCAATGACCATCCTCAAAGCCCTTTAATTTTAAATTACCTCATCTATGGCAGAACTATTTGTATTGCTCATCTTCGGATTAATTTTATTTGTTTCAAACTTTGAGTAAATTTAAAGTCTAAAATGATAAAGTCAGACCTCGTAAAAAAATTTAAAAGCTTTAAAGGCTATCAGCATTCTTTATT